GTGTCCTCATGGGATGGAGGGCTCTGCGTGCCCCTGTGGGATTGAGGGCAGGGTGTGTCCCTATGGGACGGAGGGCATTGTGTGTCTCTATGGGATTGAGGGTGCTGTGTGTCCTTATGGGATCAAGGGCACTGTGTGTCTCCATGAGATAGAGGGCAGCGTGTGTCCCTATGGGATGGAGGGCAATGTGTGTCCCCAGGGAGAGTACTGTGTGTCCTTATGGGATGATGGGCAGCACATGTCTCTATGGGATGGAGGGCAGTCTGTGTCCCTATGGGATAGAGGGCAGCGTGTACCTCTATGGGATGGAGGGCACTGTGTGTTCCCATGGGAGGGTAGATGCATATGTGTTCCTATGGGATTGAGGGCAGTGTGTGTCCCTGTGTTTATGACGAGGCTCAGTTCCTTGGCAGCATGTCTTTCAACACATTTATTTTTTTCAAAATGAATAATGCATCAAATGAGGGTTTTCACTGCCTGTTTCGGCGTCATGGAGGGACGTCCTGGTGTTCTCTGTACAGCAAACTGGCTCTGGGTGAGGTTGGATTGTTAGGTGTGAAGTGCACATATACGTGTATCCACGGCAATAACATCAAAGGGAAGCATGGGAGGGGGAACCCAGAACTGTAATTTATTCCTTGGTAACATGGGGACGTGCTGCACGGGTTATTTATATTTGAAGGCTGCCCTGAGTGCTAAATGAGCCATCTTTTTAAAATAAACATGAGGGAAAATACATCCAGGCTCCTGGTGCGTTTTAAGGTGAGGCCGGGTGAGCTGCCGGCAGGTGCTGGAGGAGGTGCAGACGCCTCCTCTCTGCCATTAACACCATCGTCACTACACACACACACACACACAAGCACTGTGTGTGTCCAGGCAGACACCGAGCACGTGGCAGCTGTCCCACTGTGGCTCTCCAGTGGGACAGGATAGATGCATGGCTGCCAAGGAGCTCAGGCCACCACCACCACGGCCAGCCTTTTTCTCACCTGGTTCACTACACAGAGGGATCACAAATGCTTGTTCCCAGGAAGGTCTGACAGCAGGGGAGTTAATATGCACCCCGTCGCTTGCATTAAACCCCATCTCTGCTTTCTGGTAGCAAAAGCACAGCCCAGGCAGCTGAGGCCAAATCACAGAGCTCAGAGCTGTCCTGGGACCAGCCCTTGTCTCTGCATCTGCAGAGGGATGTGAGGTGAGTGACCAGCCAGACCAGAGCCCGACACAGCCCCATCCTCTGCCCCTCAGATGGGCAGGAAATTAAAGCCACTTTTCCAAATTCAGAGTCATATCTGGTAGCCAGGGGTGGGTTCAGGCTTTGAGTGCAGCTGGAGTGGGTGGCTGGGCACCAGCACAGATGTGCAGCCCACAGACATGGCACATCATGAGACCACTAACAACGAGCAGATGGCTGGAGGTCACAGCAAAGCCCCACTACCAAGGATTTGTGGGTGACAATCCTACTACCTGGGTGCAGATACCAGCAGCAGCTCAGCCCTGAGCTCAGAGAGCCTCAGCCTTCCTCCCACAGCAGCCCAGGTGGTGGCACCACACAGCAGTGGCCAGCTCCATAGCATGACCATGTCCCACCAGCTCCCAGCTCCAGTGACAGCCCCACTGCACAGGGTGAGCAGGGCTGGGGCGCTCGGGGTCCTGGAGCAGCTGCTGGGGTGATGCAGCAGGGATCAGCCTCACTGTCTCCTCTGCACTCTGGGAACCAGCTCGTGGGGCTGGAGCAGCTGTTGGGATGATGCAGCAGAGATTGGCCCTGGTGCCTCCTCTGCCCTCCGGGATCTGGTTGCTGCTGGCACTCACAAGCTGAGGGACTATGGTGGATGTGCACAGCTGTGGCTCCAGCTGTTGAACAGACCCAATGCCAAGGTCTAGAGTGGGCTGGGATGCACCAGATCATAGCTCAGAGATGAAAAATATTTAAGTCTCTCAAACAATTTTCCTCATGGATCACCACAGACGCCAGCCCTGCTCGCAGCCTGATGAGTGCCAGGATTAGCTGGGCCTCTGCATTAACCACCAGAGGTGTCAGAGGTGACCTTGGGCAAATATTTACAATTACTGCGGTGCTGTGTCTGTGCATGTGCTCAAAACACAGAGGGGATTGGGTTCAGATGGCACTTTAATGAGCAGCAGGACAGTGGGAGGGTAGGGCTTCTCATGCTGATGTGTTGAGCACTCCAGTGTGGGGAGATCATCTCTGTCTGCCCACAAAGGCATGTTGGAGTGGCGAGTGCTCAGCAGCCCTTCCAGGACCTGTGCACTTTGAATAAAGACCATCTTGGTTTCTGTATCACACGGCTGTGAGCGTGTTGCTGGGACTCTGGGAATTGCAGTTTTCCTGCCCAAGCCTGGTCTGTGCTCACATTCACATCACACGGACAGCAATGGAAACACTCGAGTTGTGCCGCATGCTTGGGATGCAAACTGAATAAATAACATGAGGTTATAAAGCAGGATTCCCCCTTGAAAATTTGTTCTTCCAGTGGAAAACACAGAGGAGGAAAAAATCCTTTTAAGTTCTTCAGCCCTCTTCCCGCTCTTTATGAAATGCAGGAGTGGAGATGAGCAGGGATGGATGAATGAATTCCCCCAGAATAATCTCTCCTCGATTCCTTTCTACATTTTGATGACTTCATTCCTCCAGTTCTCATTAGCACCTCCTTTATCCCCAGTTTTTCTCCAAAGGCATTCTGCTCTTGCTCCCTGCTGCTGCGCAGGGAGCGGCAGAGCAGGGATGGAAGCAGATGCTGTGCACCACCTCATGTTGAGGCCTGGAATTTCAGAGCCTGATCCCAGCTCCAGCCCTCTCCCATGGCGAGGGAGGTGAAGTCCTCACCTGCCCCAGAACTCTTCCTGCTGGATAAGCATCCACTTGTCTGACACCTCATCCTCACACAAGGAACCATTGGTATTGTCCCACCCTTCGTTAAGGCTCCACGGTCCAACACATCCCTGCTGAAGCCCCCGCAGACAGATGAGCTGCCTCACGGGCTCTGAGGGCTGATTTCCAGAGAGGAAGGTCTGTTCTCTGAAGTGCACCCCTTCTCTGCACTCAAACCAACCCTGGATGCCTCTTGATCCAGCCCAGCTCTGTCAAAGGGGGTCACAGGATTTTCTGCCACCCTGTTTGTGAGCAATCTCGTGCTCTGCCTCCTTTCTGGCGTCCCCAGGAGGGAAACTCTCACCTGAGTAAGGAGGCAGGGGTTTGACAGGTGAGAACTATCCACCCAGGCTTTCAGCCATCCCCTGCACATCTCTGTACTGCCAATGCTGTTTGCATTCCTCAAGCCAGATCTCAGCCAGCAGATTTGCTCACAAAGTCCTGTTGAACCAGCAAAAAGGATCCTGAGTCCCTTAGGTCAGGCATGCAGAGGGATCACACGCTGCTTGTGCTTTTCCCTGGCATTCTTTGGCTGTGGGTCCCAGCTCTCACTTATTAAAGTTGGAAAAATTGTGTGTGATGCTTTGCAGACCCCATGGGTCATTTTTGAACTCCAGAGGAACCACACATCTGTAATTCTGCATTCAGCACAACATCCCACACTCAAAGCCAGCTGTGGTGGCCTGAGCTGCGCCTGCACCAGTCCCTGGATGGGAAAGATGTCCCAGCCCACCCAGCCTTGCACCCGAGGGCACTGTTTTGACCCCCAAACAATCAATTCAGTAGGAAATAAACCAAGTGGGAAGTACAAGTATTGCTCCCAAGGTCACACGCTGCAGAACACGACACTGCACTCGGTGGGGGATGCACTGCAAGAAGCAGGGCAGCACTGCTGGAATGTTCCCCGTGAACTTTGTTTCAGGCTGCTGGAACTGCTGTGTGGAGCATCCAAGGGGAATGCTGGTTCTCAAGGCACAGAGATTTCTGAAGACACATCCAAAGCTGCATATGAGAATGCTCCCTTGGACATACACATCCCTGAGCTGGCACAAAGGGAAAGGGAGGCTACACCACACCTGCATTCCCCAGCTCCCAGCCAAGGACAGCTCAGGTAGGGACTGAGCTGACTTTGGGGATGCTGCAGGTAACTTCTGTGCTGTGCAGAAGAGAAACCAGCTCTCAGCAGCCAAACCAGCCTTCTCCAAGCCCAGCCTGCCACTGGCATCACCAGACCTGCCCTGACTCACCATGCTGCAGGGAGAATGCCCCCTTCCCAACTCACGGCTCACACACACTCAGAGCAGCCCTTCCATGTTTATGTGAATCTCCCACTTTCTCTGAGCCTCACACATCGACAGGTAACAGGTATTCCACTGTTACAGCTTTTTCACCCCAGTATTAGTTTACCTTAGCAATTAAAGAAAGCAAACATGCACTTAGTAAGACTTAGGTCAGGCTTATAACCAGAAAAAAAGCTATATGCTGACTCCAGAGCACTCAAAATTTCCTCAACAACCATCATCTGCACTCCAAGGACATCAAAGACTTTCCAAAAAGCAAAGATGTGCTTCCCCAGCTTATATATTCCCCCCACCCCCTCGCCTGCAGCACCCAGCAAGTGGTTCCTCCTCCCCATTCACACCTCATCAGCTAGAAGGTGAGAGAGAAAATGAGTGCTGAGCTTGAGGGAATTTA